AAGGGGGGGATTGCCGTTAAGGGAGACAATCCCCCCCCTTAACGGCAATCCCCCCCTTTAACGGGGGCCAATGGACCTCGAGGGCTGGAATTGAGGAAGCCTGTTCTAGTCTATGAATCCATCTGCTGCTGACAGCATATTTTAAAAAGTTTATCCTACTGAACTTAAACTTTAACCCTCAGAAATGTCTCCTAATCCCATTTATTGATATCTGCGTGTTTGTAATGCGGTGAATATGAGTTCAGAATAAGGTAATTAGGTAACCTGTATCAACATGTCTTAATGTGTGCTTGTAAAGGATCAAATACATCACCAGGGTCTGGGTGGAAAGTACATTTCAATGAAAAGGATGCTGACCTTACAGACTCACTACCAGGGTGATAATAGCAGAGGTCCCCAAAACAATACAAAGACTTAAAAGCAACAGAAGAAACCCCAACATAAAATGAAAGCAAACACCAAATAATATTGTTTCCAATTTTAATATATTATTATAACATTTCCTAATAATATATAATCAAAACAATATTTCTGATTTAATTAGTCACAGTTATAATAATTATTTGTTTTATCCAACACATTACTAAGTTTCTTATTGCTTTATGTCTGCATTATGTCTTCTGTGAAGACTTTGTGTTACACTTTACTGTATAAAAAGGGTTTTATACACCATTTTTTATTTATTAAGATCAGTCAATTAGTTTGAATTGATAGGTTAATGATCCTTTTAACTAAGTATTACTTTTATAGCAAGAAGAAATTTAGACACATAAAGTCAAATGTTTCATTGGCTTTATCTTATTGTTACTAAGATAAACCTAACCTAGATTTACCTGGGAATAACCAGGAAATATCCTGCCAATATATCGGATATGTATTAACTGTTAACAAGCCTATTATGAATGATTAAGATTATTTCTAACACTCATTAACACAAACATGATCAACGCCCTTTCTGAAGAATATAAAGGAGAGCGGGATCCTTCCCTGCACATAAACTCCAGGAAGAATCTACAAAAATCAAAGACATCAGACCTTAATATGATGTTGTTGTTCATTTTGTTTGGTCTCTCTCTGGCTGCTGTGGCTCCTTCAGACAGGCAGGAGCCGAAACTGCTCCGTGGCGGCTGCAACAACTTTTGGTACGACTTTGAGAACAGCTGTTACAAATATGTCGCCACATTGATGACCTGGGCTGATGCAGAGAAGCACTGTGTGTCCCAAGGAGCCAACCTGGTTTCCATCCACAGTATGGAAGAAGAGAACTTTGTGAAAGACCTGATCAAAAACTTTGATCCTGCTGAGGGGTTCAACTGGATTGGACTCTCTGATGCTCAGCAGGATGGAACATATTTCTGGTCTGATGGTTCTCCATTTGATTTTAGTTTTTGGTATCCAGGAGAGCCAAACAATGCAGGCGGAGCTGAACCTTGTGTTAACACCAACTCAGGCACAGACAAAAAATGGAATGGCATTGTGTGCACAAATAAATTTGCCTCTGTTTGTAAGGTTGATCAAGTTTGTCAGTAGCTTCTGATCAAATGTGCTGATCAAAATAAATCAAGTTAAACATGTCAATATAGAAAATGTCTATATTTTTGTGCAAACATTTCTGTTTATGCATTCGAAACTCTTTTAAAAAACTTTAATGTTTTAAAAAATAATGAATTAAATCGAATATAACCCGTAAAAGAGATTATTCAAAATGTGTGTTGCAAAAAATATTAAGATACGTTGATCTGTCCAGTTTTTTAAATTTTAAATGTAAAAAATATGTTTAAAAATAGCATTAAAAGATGTAGCTGGGTCAGTGTATAATCCGTGTATCATTCGTTCTTTTGTTTTTTCAAATTAAAACAAAAAATTAAAAATGCAAAACTACACTTGTTTTCTCACTATTTGTTTTTAAAAACAAAACGGAAAAAAACAGAAAATGAGCCGAGTTTAAATGCCTTTAATGTGTTTAAGTTGGCTTTAATTATCTTAGTGCCTAAACGCTCACAGGCAGTCCAAAACAAAACTGTTTAAAACCCTAAGAAGGAAATAAATTGTTATGTACTTGACATGTGTGTGTAATGGCTTTCTTGATTGGGCCTCTTGTCCTTCTGAGGAACAGATATTAAATATTATAGTCTATGTATGATTATAAAAGATATGACTCCACCTTATCTCTTTTGAGATAGTGAAATAAGAGCAGATAAAGCTGATACAAAAATCATCAGCATTTCCAGGAACAAAACAAGGAAGTCAAAATAGACTAATATTCATCTGGCAAGAGTGTATTGTTTTAAATTTACTTATTTTTCAAAATGATCAAAACAGAATTTTGGTAATTAACTGTGAAGTTTTGTGTAAAGTGTAAACATTGACAAACTGATGTTCATGTGCAGATGAACATCATAACTGTAACGCTGACCAATCCCTTTCAGAAGGATTTAAAGGCAAGAGGCTAATATCTCAGCAGGATCATTTTCAACATACATCTTTAAAGATAAGCACCAGTAAGAAATTATATAAAGCTCCAAGATGATATGGTTCATTTTCTTGTTTGATTTCTCTCTTGCTGCTGAGACTACTTCAGGGTCTCTCGCTAAGGGGCCTCATTCAGATGGACAAGAACTAAAGCTGACACGTGGTGCATGTCCCACATTCTGGTTCAATTTCAAGGGTCGCTGCTACAGGTACTTTGGCACAGAGGTGACGTGGGGTGAAGCAGAGCTCGTCTGTGTGTCAGAGGGAGCCAACCTGGTTTCCATTCACAGTCTGGAGTGCTACAATTTTGTAAATTATCTAATCAAGAACTTCGATTTTACTCAGTCAACGACCTGGATTGGACTCACTGACTTGCACCTAGAAGGTGGATGGATATGGTTTCATGACTCTAAATACAAATACTCCCTTTGGCAAAATGGACAACCTGACAACTATCATCAAGATCAAACTTTGGAAGCCGATTTTACTGGGACGATGTATCCTGATTTAAAAAAAGATACCTTTTGTCTGCGTGCCTCACACAGTATTTCCTTAATTGCAGAAGAAGAAGAACATTCATCTCAGCTTAAATTTGTTGATCAAGCACAACACAGAGATACAGACAAAACTGGACAGAGGTGGAAAGAGTACAAAAAAATTATAATTGAGTAAAAGTATCTTTACTTTGCCTAAATTCTACTCAGAGTAAAAGTAAAATTACCCATCTCAAAATTTACTGAAGTAAAAGTACAAAATAACTTTATTTAAAATGTAATTTGAGTAAAAGTTACTTAGTTACTTTGAGTTAT